GATGAAGAAAAAAGAGGATGAAGAAAAAATGAAGAAAAAGCATAGATGAGAAAGGGAACAATCTAAATGAGAAAATGTAGACATTGTTACATAATAAAAAATGAAGAAGAAGAAGAAGTAAAAAAGAAGAAAAGATGAAGAGAAAAAGTGAAAAAGAAAAAGATGAAGAAGAAGAATGGATAAGAAAGGGAAGAATCTAAATGAGAAAATGTAGATATTGTTACATAGCTATAAAAAATAATGAAGAATTAAAAAGAAGAAAAAGGTGAAGAAAAAAACAAAGAAAAATATATGAAGAAGATGAATGGATTAGAAAGGGAAGAATCTAAATGAAAAATGAGAAAAAGAAGAAGTTTTCTTTTTCTAATTACAAAACTTTTTCACTTTTCCTCTTATGAAAGATAAGGAAGGAAAAACCTGAGGTAATTAAGAGAGAAGGAAGATGGCTAAAATGAAGATAGCAAAAGTAAAAAAAAGAAATGGATAATTGTATGTTTCTTCTTTCTTTCTTTCTTTCTTTCTTTCTTTCTTTCTTTCTCCATCTTTTTTTATTCTCCTTCCATCTTTGTCTTTCTTTATTCTTTCTTTCTTTTTCTTCTTTATAAAACGACAAAGGAGGAAGAAGAAAAAAAGTGGCTAAGAGAAACGGCAAAAATATTGTTTAATAATATGGTAAACATGAAGAAAGAAAAACAAATAAAGGAAAAAATTATGAGAAAACGTTCTAAAGAAAGTCAGAAAAAAATGAAAAAATAAGTAATTCATGAATTAAAAATAGAATTAATAATAACAATAATAATAATAACAATAGAATGTGGTATCTTTTTGACATGCCAGTCAAAAATAAAAGTATCTAGAAATGGAAATCTCAAAAATGTGGCACATGAAGACATCATTAATTCCAGTTGTAGTTGGAGCCCTCAGATTAGCTGGAAAAGGGACTGATAGACTCATTGAAAGAATTCTAGGTAGCCTATGCCTTAAATAAATACAAAAGATTGTACTCACAAATACAACTCACACATTACAAACGCTATCTCAATGTAGAATGTGTGATCTTAATTCTTTGGGTTTTTTACAAGAAAATGATCAGTGGAAGATGTTATGCTCTGACCTTAGGGACCTGGAAGGAAATGTTTATACAACAGGAATCAAAGAAATCAAAATACTACTACTACTACTATTATTATTACTCTTACTACTACTACTACTACTAATAATAATAATAAGCCTAGTATCCTACTGCTTTAGCAAATATCTGTCAAAAGGTGCTATTTATTTAAGTTGATACAAGTCAAAACCTATAATGCAAGATCTCCAGGTGAAAATGAGAAAAAATGTATAAGATAATAATAATAATAATAATAATAATAATAATAATTAAGAATTAAGAACTTAAGAATTGAGAACAATGTGGAGCATGAATTTTAAAGCCATAGTCATAATGGATGGTGCCAAAAGCACAATCAATGAGATTGGATGATCTGGAAATTCAAGGAAGAATTGTGACTGTCCAGCCAGCATCAATACAGTCTGTAAGTATACTGAGGAAGGTGCTGGATATTTGAGAAGACACTAAGTCTTCAGCAATAATCATCAAATATCCCAAGGGAATGTGCTAATATGTGAATAAATATAATTTGCATATGTAAAATGTGATATAGATGTGTGCGATTACACACACACACACACACACACACACACACACACACACACACACACACACACACACACACACACATATACATACATGCATACATATTTATATATATGAGGTTCAAGCAACTCAGTTCTTAGAACCAACAGCCAGACTACCCAATCATTTTTTTTTTTTTTTAAGCATTACGCCCCCAAGTAAGGCGTGAAGCCACTAGGATGCAGGGGGTTGCTGAAGATTAGGAGCAAGAGCAGATAGGAATGATAGAAGAAAGGATGAGGAGAGGGATAGTGGATAGATCAAGGTAACTGAAGATCATTTGGTTAGAGTGGTGAAGGCTTGTGCAGAAACAAACAAATTTTTTGGAAGTGCCAAATACAAAGAACTGGTGCACAGTTTGCCACATGGTCCACAAATGAACCTCTTCAGATTTTAATTTCAGAGTTGTTTTTCTCCTAGATAGTTTGCCACCTGAGGCATTTGGATCCAGTCTGTCCTGCTTCTTACATATATTCCTTACATATACTTTTCCGAAGTGAATGTAAGGAATTTAACTGGAATGTGGCCCTCAAATTCCTCAATCTGAGTTGCAATTCATTACTCCACTGTTTGGTTTGGTTTGGTTTGGGTTGGGTTGGGTTGTGTTGGGTTGGTTTGGTTTGGTTTGGTTTGGTTTACGGCATATCAACCTCAATGGGTCATTTAATGTTGACAACTTTTTTTTTTCCTGGTAATATTATTTTTTAAAAAATGTATTGCTGGTAATATTTTTTTTTTCAAAAACGTATTTCTGGCAATAATTTTTTTTTCTTCAAAAGTTTTATTTCTGGCAATATTTTTTTT